GTGCTATTATATGTCCGAGCTGTGTAAACATGCAATAAATATGTTACGACTTTACCGGAACGTATGTTTCAAAACACACATCACACATATTTAACAATGCGTAGGTTTGTTTGGACGACAAAAGAAATTAGAATTTCAGGTTAAACTTTTTAGGGTTTGTGCCTATGACGAGCCATGTTCATCATGGTTTGAGTGGAAGATCAAAGCGCAGGGAATCTCCCGGTCTACACCGTTATGAGATCTGCCCATACACCCGGTAGTAAACGCCGCGTTGGGTAAATATTATATACCCGTAATTATACCAGTCGGAACACGTGGGTTCATATCACTTGACTTGATGTCCGGCAGTATGTTCCCAACTTCAACTTTCAAACATTGTCTTACTCGCAATATAACACAAGCATTAATTCTAGCTCAAAACCAAATTCAAAGGATTTAGTGAAATGTTGTGGTACCAGAATGTCAGATGCAGACACGAGAGAGGTATTTTCCCATGGCTGTATAGGGCCATCCGAAGGTGATTAAATCTGATCAATTGCACAAGAAGACCTGTTGATTTTACGAGGAGGCTTCTCATTGTCCCAGCAGCTCCAGTCGAACAAACAGGTACCCGTTGTTCTTTTAACGTCTGTGTGGGATGATAGTCTTGCGTGTGATAATGATAGGGTCTAAATGAGCCATGTTTTGTTCGATTCATGTCTGTGGTTGGTTGGTCGGTCACTATTCAGTTATACCTCACTGACCAATGTCCCAAATGGGCGAGATAATTGCATCTAATTTCTCACTAGCCTTGAATGTCCCCTCATTGACGACCACGACGTCGTCAGCCGTGCTAAGTGACGAGGAGCAGGGGTCGCGTACAACTACACGACGATTATATAATGCCACTTTCATCTAATTGATGCTCAATTTAGACACATTTGCAGCAATGCAAAAATACCCCGATCTCCCCCTTTACGAAAACCTCACACAGTCATACACTATACACAATAACGCTATCATCACACAAAAACGTTTATCAGGAGTGAATAATTCAATAAATATCATATATCTGAAATAATTGATCTACTCAATAAAAAGCATGAGTAGTCCGCTTGATAGAAATCATATTTCTTTAAAATAAAAATCAACTTACTGAAAATGATATAACTTAATGAAAAAGTGATATATTTAATAAACAATCAAATTCTAAATAACTGAACCATGATCTATTTGATTTAAAAAAAAGTATCAAGCTGTAAATGTGTTCACTGGTGTGTAAACAAACTTTTATTCATGCTCTCGTAAACAATCTGTTTGATGCACATCTGTATGGGAATGTAACCATCTAGAGTTATCTACCCATAGTACCATGCAGCCTCGCAGACAAGTAGAGCAGCTCATACAACCATTTCAGCTCGTAAACGGCATAGCATACATCAAACATGTAAGGATATTTTTTTGTCGCCAGCTTTGCATCTAGATAAAGGTCTTGTGCGTGCATGACGCCAGTATTCTGTTGAAGCAGGAAAGACTATGATCGCTACAAAGAGGGTGATTGTTTTACTGCCTGCTGATTGACACGTTCTCCAGGAGTGGTTTCTGTAAGAATAATGCACAGATAAACCTGTCCATGATGGTCCATAGCAGAGCCAGATCAAAGCCCCGCCACTCAACCCTTCGCCAGCAATTTCAAAATTAACAGCTCATTTGCATACAACATGAATTAACCCGCCTATGTTAAGACGGCTATTACATAAAAACACACAGGCACGTTTATATAATTGATTGAAGAGGTGATAATTTTGAACTATTTCGCCGCAAAATACTCTGACGTGGCTGATGTTTCCTAATTTGCGCAACGATGACAGGATGTGACGGTTTATTTTTCTTTCACGTGTAAATGACATTTCATCAAGTATGGTATTCCCTCAGGTTGTCATACCAAATGTCTACCTCCTTGCTGTCTTCCCATCCCTTTAATGCACAATTTGTTATTGAAAGTCTGCTTATCACTGAAGAATCAGTACATTTACAACAACAGATTTATGGAGTAGTCAATGCGTGACAATCTATGAAACCGGAGACAGGATTCGTTTATGGCAGTCGTAACGACATTCGTCAATATGGCGGATATTACGTCATCAAACACATCCCGAGTGTTTCACAAGGCCCTGCTAATTAGAACAGACATATGCCAACGACCTCTGAACTCTACTTTCAACAACAGGTAGAAACAAAGGCCCAGGTGCGATTGTTTAAGCAATAAATACATGTAAGGAGAACGTGAAGTGACGCGACTTGAAGGACACCTGTTATTCCTCCCTTGCGATGGTGCATCTGAGTAGGTATGATAGAATATTAATGTGTATGAGTGTCACTCCGTGACTGTCCGGGCAGACCACTCGAACACAACCTCCGTCACAGGTGCGGATCAAGGAAAGCGTATTATTCACGTCACCTAGTACAGTTCAGTTTTAAATAGATTGCAAAAGATTTGATAACATCTTCATTGTTGGAATTCAACAAATTGATCATTAACTGATCTAAATTAGATAGAAACTTTGATCACAACAATATATATTTTTCACATGTACAAAGCATATGAAACTCGTATTCAATCTCTTGGATTGTACAGTAAGTACATATACAATTTACAGAATCAATATCCTTGGTTCTACGACATTTATTAACATGGACGTTATGGAGAGATATTCTATATATATGTAAAGAACTTATAAAGTAATGTACGAATAATGTGTATGCGTAGGGCTGCCTCCTGTTTATAGTATTCAGTTATGGCAAAGTCACACATTTGTGTTTTTTGTTTGTTTTGAAAATCAAGTTTCCAAGTGGCTGATGCGTTTTAAGCTGTTTGACGTGGTATGACATGTGTTCTGCTGCACTGTTCGGGTGGTGAACCATGTCATGCAAGGACTATTATAGTGGATGGCGCGAAGCTACACCTGACCGCCCGCAGAGCACCCGCTCACCCCACAACACATCATGAATGACGATCATTCTCTGGTACACTTTCCCTGATCATGTGACGCTGTCATATTTACAAACTCCGGGATCTCCAACCAGACAACCCCCTATAACCCCCAATAACCCCCTATCAACGATCGTTTCTGGTCACAAGACAACCCCTACCCAGCCCGGGGACTCAGACCTACCCACCCCCAGCTACTCCCCGATCAACCATCGCTACATACCATCAGTCAACTCTACCCAACCTTCCTTCAACCAGTCAACTCTACAACCCTTACCTCCCACTCAGTAAACTCTACCCACCCCTAGACCGCCAACCAGTCAACTCTACTCACCCCTAGACCTCCAACCAGTCAACTCTACCCACCCCTAGGCCCCCAACCAGTCAACTCTATCCACCCCTAGACCCCAAACCAGTAAACTCTACCCACCCCTAGACCCCCAACCAGTCAACTCTACCCACCCCTAGACCCCCCAACCAGTCGACTCTACCCAGCCCTAGACCCCCAACCAGTCAACTCTACCCAGCCCTAGACCCCCAACCAGTCAACTCTACCCACCCGTAGACCCCCAACCAGTCAACTCTACCCACCCCTACCTCCCAGTGTGCCACATTCCACCAACATCGCCACATACCATCAGTCAACCCACCCAGCTCTTGATATCTTTGACAGTGCATTCATTTCAACCCTTCATGCAAGAGAATCGTTATACTCATCAGCGATATTTAGTGATCATTGGAATCAAGAGGCATGGCGTCGGTTTTATTGACTGACATACAGAAGTACGAAAGGACTATGTTAGAATTTCTGAAATGAAGACAATACCCTCGCCACATATGAAAGGAGTCTAACCAAGATGGCGGACCAATTGTTCACGACGCCATTCAAGAAAACCGCCACACACTGATCTAACACGATAACAAGTGCTCATTCATATCTCTGACTCAATGAAGTCTTCCTATCATTTATTCGGTAGTTGGGTCGACCCGTATGACCGGCTGCATGGACCTGGCGGCGCAGGGCAACTATGCATTGCACACACTGCACCGCGTATGCGTTGTACATGCAGTGCTGTGACTGGTTACAAGACGCTGCTATTTCACTGTGGTGTAATCACGATGAACCTTCACAATAGCAAGTCGCCAACACTATTATCAAAATTATCCCATATACTAGTATATAATGTACGTCGGTATTGTGCGTCAAGATATTTAGTCACATGAAGCCAACTGTGAACTGTCGCACAGAAAAGGTACTGCGGAAACATTCATTTCTAGTTAAGTTTGTCAACTAAAACGAAATGTGTGCGCATTGGTGCGGACAATCTGCTTGTCTACGTCAGTGACTGCACGGGCTTGTACTCTAATTACCTCTCTTCATCTGAAGAGTTCCTTTCCAAGGGAGGTAATGAGGCGTAAACACAAGTCCCAATTATTTTGTTATGATTTTGCTAATTGGCTTGCGGTGAAGTTTGTAGCGACGCGGTCTTATAGTGTATTTGCTAACCCGTATGTTAGCCGTGATACGTGGATGACCTGATCAGTTGGACGGGGTTCGAATCCAGTCCATCGCGCATCGTGTGGTGACGGGGGCTACAACCTCTAGAAGCGGCGGACCGTGTGTAAACCGTGTTGACAGACACATTCACCCAACATCTGAACGTGTGACTCACACGGATATCTGCTGTCAATGAAACATATTCCTGTGGGCATTTATTCAGTCAGCTGGCACCATTGACACTCTGTTCTTTCGACGCAGTAATTATGTCAACTAAACATATATCATGCGATAGTATAAGAATCTTTATAGTTAATAACGTCGTGAGCTAGGTCACAGATATATTCCACAGAACATAGTCCTAAACATATAAACATATGTCAACGTCAACGTCAACAAAATGTACATGAATGGATCTCTGAAACTCAGTGTTGACAGCAGGTGTTGGCGAACACTGTATCTTGGAAGTATCATCTAGCCTCCGTCAAATATATGCATACAGTTGTCTTACTGATCGTTCTCCTATTCCAGATCGGAACGCTGACTACAACCAAGTGCGACGTTACCGCACGGCCTTCACAAAGGAGCAGATAACTCGCCTAGAGAAGGAGTTCGCCAAGGAGAACTATATCAGCCGTCCGAAGCGTTGTGAGCTGGCAGCGTCCATGAATCTGCCCGAGAGTACCATCAAGGTAGGTGTTCTCACTCTCGGCGGGCGTAAATGTTACAGGTTAAATTATGTAGGCTATTGATGTGTGTGTGATATGAGTTTGATATTCTTTACTTCAAATTAATGTATATTTTATCTCGTTCTAGGTGTGGTTCCAGAACAGACGAATGAAAGACAAGCGTCAGCGCATGGCACTCGCATGGCCATATGGCATCCCCCCCGATCCCCAGCTGTATGCGTACCTGGCCGCAGCTGCAGCCACATATCCATATGGACTTCCGGGTCCTGCGCACATGGGACATCCGGCGCTCTCACTCCCAGGTCACTCAGGGTTTTCTCCCTTCCATATGCCAGGGGCAATCCAGCACCGACCGGAACTCATGTCGTCAGTTAGCACAGCCTTTCACAAACCCCAAACTGTAGTAGACGGACTGCCTGTTAGCACAGCGTCGTCTCTCGGATACTCTTTAAACTTTGGTCACATGACAGGCGCAGGGCTTCCGGAACACCCGCTACTGTCATCCGGGCTTTCACTGTCGTTGTCAGGGAAACCCTGCCCGTGTCACGGAAGTATAGGACTTCACCCGATATCTGCGCATGTTTCCGGTTTAGTCCCAGGTCCTTCAACGTCACCCCCATCAGTGAGGAAGAGTGAAATTAATCTATCATAGTATTCGTAGACAAATGACATCAGTGTGCTTTAAGTTGTATAAATCTGACAATCCAGTACGGAAGCTGCAGTGCTATGTGCAGCTGAAATGTCATGTTGTGTGTAAGCGAATGACAGACGCAGAATGGACGTTGATATAGGTTGCAATTGTGGGGGATGCGCATGGCGCCATAAGAAGACTGGGCGCCTTCTTTATGTCGTATATATAGATGATATTCATGGCAGATTCTGCGATTTGGCGCCTGCTGTTAGCTGAAAAAGTAGAGGTGCACACATACAGTCATCCTCCACTTTATTCCCAGCTGTTGTGAATGTATTCTCCTGGACGTGATGAACTTTGCCACGATCAGGGGAGTGACCAGGTCTAAGTGTTGCGTCACCTCATGATTTTCATGTCTACGGGTGCAGTACTGCAGTGGTGATACCAGATTGCCTCATCATCTGTGATACGTCATCCACTGACATTCAGACCCGACTATTCGTAGTTTTCTACTATTCTACTATGATCCCATGTTATCCGCGCATGCGCCCCACGTTATAAACGTGCTTCATTTCAATTGAGTATATTGTCAAAACCGAAAGGTTGTACAGAAAATAAAAGAATGCCTAAATCTACCTGATCTTGTCCTATTTCCAGCCTCGCTACCAACACTGTATATTACCTATATGTAAAGGGAAGAGTGCTGAACAATCTATTATTTATTCTTTTGGTACTTGATCACATGTGACCACAGTACACACTGTTCCAACTCAATGTTAAGAATGTCAGACTGGAGGATGAAAAGCTGTCTGGCTTGGGGTCCACGACGAGCCGATTGTGGCGGAATTTCGGTTGAATGAAATCTTTGTACTGTTTGAAGGTTCTATGTGTCTCCCACTGCAATTCAAACATATACAGTACAATAATCATTCAGTAGGTGTGTAAGCCGCATTGTCCAAATCCACCGGCAATGCACTTGTATTTGCCATCTGTGGCCACGTCATGTGAATAACTAATGATTACTATGAAATTAATAGTTGAATATTATGTGGAAGGAAAAAATGAAAGTTTTGTCCAAATGATGTCACATCGGTGCACAGGGCAGAAGTCATCCGAGCTTGTTAACTACATCAATTCCAACATCAAAGATTAGGCAGTTGGTACATACAAGTGAGACGATATGTAATAAAACCCATATCAATAGATGGTTCATTGTGAAAGAGAAGCTACTTTCCTTAAAGCTTTGGTCGGCGGTCCACAGCCATTATTAAAGCAATCATTTCCATCTCCCGTGAGTCTGCAACAATTCTAAAGGCAGATTTATGTTTATCAAAAGCAGTAAATGGATTTTCTATTTATAGATTAAGATTTTGAAAAGGGCAGTATTAGATCAGAGTAAAACGTTTCCCATTAGTACGGCGGTCTAGCGTGACAACAGCAGTAGTAGGGATAAAAGCAGTTGACAATTTAACACTCTTCAACGGTTTTCTATAACATTTCTAGAAATCGCAAATTTATCATTGTGATAAAAAAAATAGAGAGCATTTATTAAGGACGACCAGCTGCCTGTGTAAAGAGGAAACGCGTTCTTGATTTTCCGTGAGATAAAGCCAATCACTTGTATATCGGGAGGTGGATCGAGGCTAGTGTTCCACTGCGCGTGCGCAGTCACTGCCCACATTCGGCGACCAATGGACTCTTACACAATGAATCCCACTTAAATCGTTATTGTATTCAGTCAAAATTGTACCATTTTTCAGCGCATTGGTCTTGGCATCTCGTTAGAGGAAGGTGTAAAATCAGAAATGTGTGTGTGTGTGTGTGTGTAGGGGGTGGGGGGTGGGGGGTGGGGGGTGGGGTGGGGGGGGGGGGGGGGGGGGTAGATGTTAGACGACAATGCAATGAAGATGCTAGATTTTTAATGGTTATACCAGAACGAGGTTAGGTGATATGTCACTAATATTTGAGAGAAGATTGTGATTTCATGGATTGTCTTTTTGTGTTTTGAAGAAAGGTAGCTGGTCGGGTTAAAATTAAATAGAGATACACTTTTCGCCTCACGTTGTTTGATGACGTCGTTGGAAGAGGTGGGGTATCTGCGTGCGGTATCTTCCAATGAAATTAGAATTCCATTGCGACGTAAACAATACTTATAGTTTGGCTCATTTCTCAAAAGTCATGCTTATATCCCCTGACGAAGTTGATATTTGGCGGAGGATTTGTATTGTGAAAACACTTGCCATGCAGTCAGGATCGAATGACTACGTCCTTTATGGTTCCTCTTCATAGAAATCAGAAACCATGCCTTATTAAGTTAGACACCATGCCATATTGAGTTAGACACCATGCCTTATTAAGTTAGACACCATGCCTAATTAAGTTAGACACCACGCTTTATTAAGTTAGACACCATGCCTTATTAAGTTAGACACCATGCTTTATTAAGTTAGACACCATGCTTTATTAAGTTAGACACCATGCCATATTAAGTTAGACACCATGCTTTATTAAGTAAGACACCATGCCATATTAAGTTAGACACCATGCTTTATTAAGATAGACCCCATGTCATATTAAGTTAGACACCATTCCATATTAAGTTAGACACCATGCCATATTAAGTTAGACACCATGCCATGTTAAGTTAGACACCATACCATATTAAGTTAGACACCATGTCATATTAAGTTAGACACCATGCCATGTTAAGTTAGACAGCATGCCATATTAAGTTAGACACCATGCCATGTTAAGTTAGACACCACGTCATAATAATTTAGACACCATGCCATGTTAAGTTAGACACCAATACCCGTATCAAATGCATCAGCGTTGAAATAACAATTTCTTGTTTGTTAATTTTTAACCACCATCAAAAATGGATCTAAACTTTATTTGGTCCGGCAGTTTAGGTTGTACCATAAACTATACAACGCAGAATACAGAGAAGGGAGACAACTACTGTTGAACATAACATTGAGCATGAATTCCTCAGGTTGAGATAATGACTCCACCCCTGATGTGGAGGGAGCACGGGGTAAACTCAACATTATCTTGTCTACTGTTTTATGGGAAGCAGGATGATCGCCTGAGTCTCACACATCAAAGTCCCCCACCTGCGTTCCCCGTCTCCGTCATCAAAATAGATCCATATATACCTGTGCGGCGTACATCAAAGAACACCGGCTCCTTTTCGAAAAATTCAAGTATGACTCCCTCTCTGTGTTTTAAGTACTGCACAGTGGAAGTAATGTAGCGATGAGGCTCTGCACCCGGAGATACCATGGAGGGAAGTCAGGAGGGTATTTGATAATTTAATCGTTTGTCGTTATTCGCTTTACGTGAATAGATTTTTTTCCTCAAAATAATGCGTTTTAGAAGAATACATATTTTGAATTTCTAAATCCTGGTGAGGATGTTTATAGCTTGTTTTGTCGTAATGATAGCATTCCTGGCTGGTCCTTCAAGCATTAAACCTGTTGGTAGTATATAGTTTACTTCACAGTATGTACAGAGGATATAGATAGACTTTGCAGGAGTTTTCTCTTCCACCAGCACTTAATACTTTGATAACACAACAAAAACTCGAGACCACCCTGTGCTGGACTAAATCCATGATATTACCCATATCCGGCCACAACGTGACTTATGTCAAAACCTAATAACCCGAAACTGTTCGTGAATACAAACTACCTCATCCAATGTTTACTTGAGTTATCCTGACAACTTGCCATATGTTACCACTGCGCAGGCTTCAATGTGTCAGCCAAGCAAATGTGTCATGCTGATAGTTCGTTTTATGCGACCTGTTATTTTTATCATCCTAATCTTCATCTACATCGTCATCTTTTTGCCGCCTCATTGGTCCTGTGGATAGAGTGTCTGCCCGAAAGCAGGGGGTCGGTGGTCAGATCCCCTGGCCGCGCGATACCAAAATACGTTGAACTATTGTACTTGATGTTACCTTACCTGGTGCTCAGCATTAAGGGGCTCAAACAAGGACGGCTGGAATAAGCATGCTCCTATATATTTAAGTGCAATTATCTTGAACTCGACGTTACTCCCCATTTCACATCTTATCACACCGCCTTCTGCTCATGTAGTTGTACAACTATGGTGCTACCAGGATATAGCATTAGAGTGAGTTGGGTTTAACGCCGCTTTTAACAGTATTCCAGTTATATCGCGGCGTGTCAGCTTAATGTGGGAGGAAAGCCCGAAGTGATGCAGGTCTCAGACGTTTACCACTTCGGTGAAACACACGAGCACGGGTATGGTGCTGACAAACCTAGAAACATAATCGGGGCGAACCGGGATTCGAACCCACAATCATAGGTTTCTGGCGTGCCCAAGGGACGCAACTCTGCACAGCGAATCGCGGCGTCTTAGACGACTGGGCCACCCGTGCCCCCATATAGCATCAGAGGGCAGCGCTAGATATGTGCCTGGTCCTACCGTTGGGTACAGCTATAACGTTCAAATATACATGTAAAATGTTGTTTAACGCCGCACTCAGCAATATTCCAAGGATATGACGTCGGTTTGTAATTAATCGAGTCTGTACCAGACAGTCCAGTGATTGACATCGCGAGCATCGATCCACATAATTGAGATACGATGACATGCATTAACCAAGTCGGCGAGGTTGATCACCCGATACCGTTAGTCGCCTCTTACGACATGCATAGTCGCCATTTACGGCAAGCTGAAGATGGGTTGCTGAAGACGTATTCTACCCCGGATCTTCACGGGTGACATGCAATATGTGAGTGAGTGTGGTATAACGCCCCTTTGAACATGTAATTGCGTGTGGCGGGGAAGCTTGAAGTGATGCAGGTAGAAAGCGTCTACCAGTCAAGTTGGTGCTACCCTTGAGAATGGTTATTGGGCTGACCAATGATCACAGTCAGGGTGAGTCTGGGATTCGAACACACGATAAGCGGATCCGCCAATGACACCATCAAATTGCCGAGGGTTATGTCACTGAGTACCCATGCATCTGTGTAGATAAGAAGGGCAATGGCTGATACTCTAGGCTATATGGTATGGCTGATATATGATAACGCTATAGTATGCTAGTAGTACCAAAAGGGGTATGTAATGCCAAAGTTGTACTGGGTGAACAGGGTATGCTATAAAGATTTATTATATATACTTAAGAGTGTGGGACTTTTCTGAAGTTGTGAAAAGGGATATTCTCGTTGCAAGGAAGATAACCTTTGATATTCCACTGACAGTGACCACCTCCCGGCCAGTGCCACCCGGGAGATACAGACAGTGACCATATCCAGGCCAGTACAACTCGGGAGATACAGACAGTGACCACATCCAGGCCAGTGCCACTCGGGAGACACAGATAATGACTACATCCAGGCCAGTACCACTCGGGAGACAGAGACAGTGACCACATCCAGGCCAGTACCACTCAGGTGATACAGACAGTGACCACATCCAGGCCAGTACCACTCGGGTGATACAGACAGTGACCATATCCAGGCCAGTACCACCCAGGTGATACAGACAGTGACCACATCCAGGCCAGTACCACTCGGGAGATACAGACAGTGACCACATCCAGGCCAGTACCACTCGGGAGATACAGACAGTGACCACATCCAGGCCAGTACCACCCG